GAGAGAGAGAGAGAGAGAGAGAGAGAGAGAGAGAGAGAGAGAGAGAGAGAGAGAGAGTGAGTGAAAGACAGAGAGAGAGTGAAAGAGGGAGATAAAAAGACAGATGATAAATGGAGAGAATGCCAATAGGTCCATCAAGTGCAGATAGAAAGAGAGAGAGAGAGAATTAGAATGAAAAGAGAGAGAGAGAAATGAAAGTGATAGATAGAGATGACACCCAGTGCTTAATCAAGGCAAGAGAGGAATAGTAAGAGAAAAATAGAGTAATAAATATAGATTATAGATACCAGAACCTCGATTAGGTACAGATAGAAAGAGAGAGCGAGACGAAGAGAGACAAAAAGACAAATGAGTAATATATGGAGATGCCGAGCAAATCCAGAGAAAATATCTAGTTCCATAACTAAATTCCTTATATTCATTTAATATTAATTATTTATAATTAATTTCAAGAATATTCTCTAGTTCCCTAACTTTATTCAATTCATATCCCAAACATTTAAATGAATTAATTGATGCTCACCTGGTGGCATCATAGAGGCGCACTGATCCCGGCCAAGGCAAAAGCAAGCATAGTTACGGCATCTGCCAGTCGTTCAGTACCCTCAAAATGACTCTCGGCCGTACAATCAGTCCTTGATAGGCAAACATCATACAAAGCACACCCAAGTCGCTGGCTAGGTTTAGGCCAGCTTTATTACCAACTTAGTTTCATTATTAGCTGCCAACAGTCTTGTCTTTGTGTCTGTATTTGTGTGTGTGTGTGTGTTTTATTTTATTTTTGTTTTCTTTCGGCTGTTGTTTTCTTAGCCGCTTTGTCGCCTGCCTTTTTGGCCAATTTTTGTATTTTGACAAAACTGCCTAAGCGTGACTGGAGCTGGGGAGTAATAGGGGGGCGTGGCAGACGTGTTGACGCAGGGCAATTGTTTGCAATTGGTATCAAAAAGCGTGTGAATATAACTTAACTTGGCTACAAATTAAGCCTTTTTCGCTTTTGCTGTTTGGCTCCGTCCGGTTTTTTTTTTTGGCCATTATTGACAGCGATTTGCGTTGATTTCAGTTTGCTTTTTTTTCTTTTATCCATTTTTGCTTCATTTAGTCTTTGTCGACCATGAATCTGTTGGGCCGCAAATGTTGCTCTTGAGTTCAATAAGCTTTTGTTTGGCTAATTTGATGCCAGCCAGACAGCTGTGTTACTCTTGGCCAAGACGCAACCGGCGCAAACTTCTTTAATTAAATTTTCAATTTAATACACTTGACGACAGCATTAAGCGGCCCATTGACTGGATGGAGGGGGAGGGGGAGGGGTGCGTATGTTTCTGCAGCAGGCGCCAAGTTTTCATTAAGCCGCCGGCAAGCTGATGCGACCAATGTCTAGGCCTTCCTCAAGATGTCCGGGCCAAGTCCATTTTCATATAAATTAAATGCCACAAAACTTGTTTTACTCGCCATTTCATATTCTTACTGTGTGTGTGCGCGTTTTTTTGTTGCTTGTTGATTGGAAAATTGCAAATTGATAATTGATATGCGCCACCTGTCGGCCGCCGTTGACACTAACTTGAGTAGACAGACATTGATTTGATTGAGTTTCTTCCAAGAATAGTCCTGATTGTTTTTTATAAATCGAATCTATAATTATATAATGCAAAAGGAAATGGGTTAGACTAGTAGATACCCTATATGTAGCTTTAACTTATATATAACAACTTGTATATGACTAACAGCCATTTTTGACGAGTAGATACCCTGTACGGAAAGGTTTCAATTTATTATTGACTTGTAGCTACCCTTTTGGCAGTTCTAAACTAGCTAATTGCTGGATAAAAATAAATGCATTACTGGACTTGTAGATACCCTGTAATGTTTGTGATTATTAATAACTAATGTGATGAGTACTGGACTTGTAGATACCCTGTAGAGTATTGAAAAGGGCTACAATAACTAATAGAAATCACATTACGTGACTAGTAGATACCCTGTACTCATTTGCAAGCAAGTGCTGCAAGTGAATGATACCCTGTATACAGTCCTAACAATACTGGGAGTACCCTGTACACAATTTTAATATAGCCTGGTATGAACTAGGTTTGTCATTTAAATATTTATAGTCTATTAAAATCATTAAGAAGATATATTGCTCGACTGCAACATACTCTGTATAAAGTACTTACAAAGTACAGTTTTAGAACGGGCAAAAGCTCGAACAACGATTAAAAACTACAACAAATATGTTTTCTATATGACACAGTTAAAGGCTGAAGTTCTGAACATGAATCAGTACTTAAATCATATATTGTAAGCAAACCCACAACAATATTTTATGATATATTGCAACATCCCTATCTTCATCACGTTTGACTCTCTATGCTAAATTCTTAAACTATATTCGTTTTGTGTCTAGTCTAGAAACCTCATTCAAATCGGAACGCACAACGGACATGACTATGGCCCAGTTGGCTAGCCATGTTTGCCTATGTCTTTTAATTGGCCAAAAAAAAAAAGTTGTCCAATTGTCACTTAATAAAAACATTAAAGCCCCGAAAAAAATATGATTATTATTAATATAATTGTTTTAAATTTAATGTTGTTTTTTGTTTTGCCGTTTTTATTGCTTACGCAAATTGCACGTAAGTGTGTGGCCCAAACTTTTATCTAAAATTTTCCATCTGTTTTTTTCGTTATCTTTTACAGGTAAGAGCGAGCGAGCGACCTCATAAAAACCCGAAAAAAACTAGAATTACGGCACGTGAGTAAAAGCTGCAAATGGACCGCACTTACTGCCAGTTGTAACACTTAAGTTGATCTATGTGTGTGCGTGTGCGTGTGAGTATGTAATGTGTGTGTGTGTGTGTGTGTAATGTCTGCTCAGATATATCTGCTCAGAGTATTCACTTTCTCTGCTTTAATTGCGGCCAATTTTATTTTGATGCGTGCGCATTTAAATGCATTTAAAAAGCAACAACAACAACAACAGCAACAGCCTCTGTCAACTTCTGGCTTGGCAAAAAAAAACCAAATTAAGTATAAAATCAACTTTAGCGCGACTCACGTACAAAAATGATTTTGTAAAGAAAACTTGCGTAGCAGAACGAGTCAGGGCAGCAGGAGTCGTGGCTGAGAGGAAGAGCAGCAGCAGGAGGAGGAGCAGTTGAAGTCGTTGTCGGCGTGGTAGCTGTGGCTGATGCTGGGGCTGGGGCTGGGGCAGAACATTTAAGCAGCTTAACCCATTTCCGTGGCACATTATCATCATCATTTGATATGTCTGCAAAGCTGTTGCTGTTGTCGTTCAACTATTGCAGAGTTTTTGTTATTTTCTCTCTCTCTTTTTTTTATATTTCATCTCTCTCTGTCTCACTCTGTCTCTGTTTTTTAATTTCTTTCAATTACGCCGCACTTGTCACAGTGGTCTGAGGCTGGAGCTGTTGTTACCTCCCTGTGAAATTCCCTCATTAATGCTGCATGCATAAATACGACCGGCTTTAATGAGCATTAAGGCTTTCCTCTCTGTGCCTGTGTGTGTGTGGGCAGCTGAGCTGCTGCGAACATAAAAGCCACTCATTGAACGATTTTAAAGGCGACACTGATTGAGTGTCTCTCCCTCTCCCTCTCTCCCTCTCTCACTCACTCTCCCTCGCCAGCTCCGTCTCGCACTTAATTAGAATCAGTTTCGCCAAAAGCTCTCTACTCCAATTGCATAACACAATATAGAGCTGGCAGCAGGCTGCTTGCAACATCATTATTAGCAAACGTCTAGAGCGGCTAGCGAAAGTTGAGAAAAGAAATGTTGCCGCGCGTCGCATGGCATCGGTTGCTCGGTCTATGACCGCATCATGGTGCAAGGAAAGTTGTGTGCCTTTCTAAAACTCAGCTATGTAGAATAGGGGACAATCGGCAAATCGGCAAATGGCAATCGGCAATCGGCAAATCGGCAAACGGCCCATGGTTACAGCATGCAACAGCAGCGAGGCAGGTTGCAGCAGGTTGCAGCAATTGCTGTTCGCTGTTTGCTGTTGTTGTTCAATTGTTGATGCGCCAGCAACATGGCAGCCCAACACAAAACCAATTTAGCCAGACCCAAAAGCAGGCAAAACTCATTGCAGCGCCGCTGAGTGCATCTGCTGAGTGCAACGTCTAACAAAATGCTGGCCGTAAAAACAAATGAAGCCAAAACCGAATGGCAGGCGAGCATAGCTAATGCAACATTGCCTAATGCCATTGACTAAGCTCAGCTTGACCAGGCGCACTTTCAGTTTTCAAATGGACAACAACAACAACAACAGCAACTGTAACAGCAGAAGCGGCAGCAACAGATAACAAGAAAATTGGCAACAGTCGAGAGCCGAAACCGAAACTCAAATGCCCTTGAGTTCGTTTGCTTTTATCCTTTTACTGAAAACAAAAGCAAATTCTGTTGTTGTTCATGCTAAAGGCCTTCAATTAGCTTTGACTATATAAAGACTTTATAACAAGGCTGTGACTAATAGTTAAATGAGTTGCAATTGAAGAGAAGATATACATACGTATGTATGCATGAATATATATGCATAACTTATAGTTAGCATATACTTATGTATACAATATAAAACAATTTCGATTTGAGGTTTTTAGCTTGAAATCTAGATTCAAATATTGATGTTTGAATTAAGCAAGGTCTGCTGCTAGCAAGAAATATATTAAGCTATGAAACCAAGAGAAAAATATATATAAAGAAATATAAAAATAATATATATAAAGAAATATAAAAATAATATATATAAATAAATAAATAAAATAAAGACAAAATAGATAACGAAATATGAAATTAATATAATAATAAACAAATAAAATAAATTCTAAATAAATAAAAATAAATAAATAAAATAAAATCTAAATAAATAAAAAAAATGAATAAAATAAAATCTAAATAAATAAAAATAAATAATTAAAATAAAATCTAAATAAATGAAAATAAAATAGAGATTAAAATCTTTCAAGCCTTGGCTGCTCCATTTCGATTGAGATTTAGAGACGTTTCGTAAAAAAATTGATATGGCAACAAAAATAACTATAAGAAACTGTGTCTATATACATATATGAATATGAATATATCTTATGAATATATAAATTCAATTTTTGCAAATTACATATGTATATTTGATTGTTAATGCTGCCTGACTTTCTGGTGTTATTGTAGCTTGGATAATATATAAAACATTAATAGAAAACTCTTAAAATTTATGAAATTCATCAACATAAATTATATATTTAAAATTAAACAACAAAATCATAGAAAATATAAAAATATTTATAATAAATTAAAAATTAAATTATCAAAAAGAAAATTCAATGAATATTATGAAGGCAAAAAATAAAAAAATAAATAAATTTACAAAATAGAAAAAACTAAAAACTGGAATATCTCAATATGTTGCTTTCATTAATTCACTATTAACCCTCTATAAAGTCCCTCAAAATTCAGTAAAGAGCCCAAACCTATAAATTTCTCTTGTTACAAACAATTGAAGCTAATCGAGCTGCCCTTTGGGTTTGGTTAGGGTATGGCTAAAGGTTCAGCGCGATTCGTTTTTATGGCAAAGTCAAATAGGAAAACAAAATAGAAGTTAATCTAATAACAAAGATTGAGCGCAATAATTTTAGCGATTGGCAGCGCAGATTTACCATGACCAAGCGGCATGAGGAGGAGCAGCAGGGGGAGGGGGAAGAGGAGGAGGAGAAGCTGCTGCCATAAAAGCAGAGGCAGAGTCCGAGGCAGAGGCAGGCAGCCGGCAGCAAAAGTAAAAAAAGCATCAAATAAAAGGGAGCGTCGGTCGTCTCGACACGGATACCAAAACCATGGTCCACACTCTATGGCTGGCATAGTCGAGCAGCAGCAGGAGGAGGAGGAGGAGCAGAGGGGCGTTAGAGATGAAGGCAGACTGAAGCTGGAGAGCGTGGCCAAAGGCTCGTTAGCGTTTTGGCCCAGCAAGTGCAGCAGCAGCTGCTGCCAAATGGGAGCTGCACTTGTT